TCTCTCTCTCTCTCTCTCTCTCTCTCTCTCTCGTATGTACACAATTTATAAGGGACTGCATGAACGCAACTAATGACAAAATATCGTGCCATTAGTTTACCATTCAATTCATATTACACTCAATCTTATTATTGAATTACACGAGTGTTTGCGTATATTTTTGCAAAACAGTATTCAACACAATATGCCGTTCGAGCCGTTAATTAAAGCTCGGAATCGACTCTACGTTTGGGAGTCATTACGATATGTGTTGACAACTTTTCTCACAAAAATCAGTTAATATTATTAACTTTGTTTCAAATTCCGACATAAATTTTTGTTTTAATTAGCGCTTTATTATTTAATTATGCTTTTGATTTAATTATGCAAATAATATTTAGACATTTATTAATTGTTGATAAAATTATAGGGAAAATAGTTTAATATCTGTAGATATCTTTATAATGTGTTAACTATTATAACATATCTTTAGTTTTTTCTTTAGCTTATATTTCATGTGAAACTTTTGTTCACAAAATAATGAATAGTATTTTTAACGCAAAGTATTCTGACTTAACTGTAAAGATATGATTGTATTGTAATATTATATCAATAAAATGTCAATTCAATTGATCTAAAATATAATATTTATTATGGGATTATATTTAATATTTATATTATATTCCATCAAATGATAGCATTTGACAAAAGAAAAGTTTACATATTTTTATGATTACTGTTATTGTTATATAGAATTACATTTGTTTTCTATAGTTTATTAAATTACATTATAATCAATCGATATTTAGTTAATTCAACGCTAATTTGTTTTTAAATTATTTTAGATTTAAATTTCATCAATAATTTTATTCATTTTAATAATTATTTTTAATAATTGTAATTAATTGTTTATTTGTTATAAGTTTTGATTTAAATGACTTGTAAATTATACATTATTTTATTATTGATTATTATTATTATTAAATTGAATTAGATTTACAAAATGATTGCTGACATTTCACTGATTGTAAAAAGTAATGAATTAAAATTAAAAATATATTTACGAAATGCTCACTTTATAATGAAATATTTTACATTTTAAATGTTATTTTAATTAATATTATACATTATATTTATTTATATTTATTATGCAATGTATGCTTAATTACAATATATAAATATACAGCGATGTGTGAAAATTTGCTAACAATCAGACTCTATATTTCGTTTCGTTTATACTGTTATTAAAAGAAACTTTTTAAACATTTAATACTATAACTAATGCCAAGTATTAGCACTAATTGTGATAAAATTACACTAAAAATCTCGTTTTCATTGATTTGAGAAATGCGTAAAACTATTTGAAATTAGCTTTTGTTAACTTATCAAAGATTATACATTTTCTTTGTACATAACTATATCGTAAGGGAATTAAGTTTCTATTTGTTATTGTAATCAAACTAATAGTTATTTTTAAATAAAGTAAATGTATAGAAAAATTAATTACAATATTTACGTTACGATTAGTTTTGCCTTTAGTTATTCACATCTGAATATAAAACTCATTTTCCATATGATTGACCAAATGTTTGATTGAAAATGATTTTACGGCATATGAAATGAAAGTCATCGCCAATTTGTAGGAATATTTTTATGTTCAAAATTCATATGATTTCCGGCACTCATCTGATTGTTGACCGACGCCTGAAACAGAAGTAATTGTCTATACTTTTCCATATCGATCGGTGCCGTCATGTCATTGATGTTGCCGTTTGTGGGCATAAAGTTGATGTCATTGCGGCCTAACATCAACGAAATGTCGTTACCGTTTGGGCCAAAATTGGGCGAAGAATTGATTGGAATTCTAGTGAATTGAGTCAATAGATTGCTGGGATGGATGGGAAGCACTGGCGGCCGAATCATCGCTTCTGAACACTGATTGGGACGGGATGTCAGATGAGAACTATTCGCCAGATTGTTGGCCATTGACTTCTGTTTCATTTCATTTGATGATAATTTGTTGGCACCGATGAGGCTATCGATGGAAAAGTTTGATTTTGATTTCGCAGACGTCGTGGCCGTCATTGAAGATAATGGCGACGAAGAATGCATTATAACTGATTGTGTTGTCGACGGCGAAGGTGTTTGGTTTGGTGTATCTCTTAGTGATGCCATCAACTGATTTGACATCTCTTGCATGTGATTCATTTGACCGCTTGTGGGGCCGACCGAGAGGTTTATCGGCTGAAGCGGTGGTCGAGTAGACATCTCATGCGGATGGAGAAGAGGTATCGGCGGCGGAAGGGGTGAGAAGAAAGGATAGCCGCCCATAAGCGCCGGATGATTCATAATGCCGTTGGAGCGGCCGTACGGGTCGAGTCCGGCCAAACAGAATCCCTCTCTAATGAACTCCTGCTGTCGTTTATAGCGCTTCCGTCGCCTAAGAAAGGATCCGTTGTCGAACATGTCTTCGGACGCGGGATCGAGTGTCCAGTAGTTGCCTTTGCCTGGGTTTCCGGGTTCGCGAGGGATTTTGATGAAACAGTCGTTGAGTGAGAGGTTGTGTCGGATGGAGTTCTGCCACATCGGGTACTTCTCCCGATAGAATGGGAAGCGATTCTTAATGAAGTCACAAATGCCACTCAACGTGAGCTTCTTGTCGGGCGACTGGAGTATAGCCATCGTTATGAGCGCTATATAAGAATAGGCGGGTTTGACGATATGGCCCTTCTTGTTGGTCGTCGTCGACCCGGAATCCGATTCCTGTGCCTCTGAATTGTCTTTTGAGTTACACTTGTCGTCCGCGTTATAGTCTTTGTCTTCAAACTCGTCGGTGATGTCGATATCTAAGCCCTCGTCGTCGTCGTTGGACTCGACGAACACATCTCCGTCTTCATCAGCCATGAAAGACATGTGTCTTTGACCGCTCTGTCGAAACATGTCTAATGACTGGTTATATGTAACCATTTTATTGATAATCATAAGTGATTTTGTTTAGCGCCGAGTCTTTTGCTTAACTCACGGCTGTGTCTCAGATAAGAGCAAAACTAACAATTAGTTCAGTTATAGTGAAGTGTGTGTCAAATATACAGAATATACACCACTATATACTTTATATACTGTTATATATCTGTAATGTAACTCATGTTTGGTTCAAACGTCACCACAATCTACAGCCACCGTAAGCGCCGCCCTCTTCGGCGGAGTACCACCTCTTCACTGCTTTGGGCAACCAATCCATGAGTGGATGACTTTACGCCAGAAAGAGTGGTGTCTTTGATATATATTATCATTATTATTGTCTCATATATTAGACGCTTAAATAAAGCAATAGTTTATAAGAATCATAAGAAATAGCAAATTATATGCAATTATTAGCACTTTTGAGATGAGGAATGAATTATCCATTTCTTCAAATCATATTCTGGTCCTCAAAGACACCGATTCCTGTCTAACAATGGGTTTGAGTGAGACATTAAATGTACAGTTCGTGTCCATTAGGTGTGGAACATAATAATGACCACTACTAGAGCTCATTAAATGTTTGTATTATTGGTGAACCCCTTCAACGATCCCAAACCTCCAGTGCTCACCAGAAAAACCTCTTTTGTATTGAAAATCATTCAAATAAATACGTTATGCCTGTTATGGCTGTTATGCCTAAATGCCTGGATTACTACCAATGCGATCATTTGTTAAGACCTCCCCATTGTTATCGATTCAATGAACACTATCAATGACCACACTGTTAGACATCACCGGCACTGTTGGCCTGTGTTACCACTGCTAGACATCACAAACAAATTCTTGCCAAACAATCTCATTCTCCATAAGAAATATATGTTTAGTAAGACATAAATATTTTCATACTTTTTCTCTCATTTCACAACTCGTTTACATTATTTTAATAACTGATAAAAAGAAAAGCGTTTCTCTTTAGTTGAAATAAATGTAAAGAATAAATATTTTTGTCGTATTATAAATCATTTCCTGTATCTATAACTATAAACTACTTTATGGTTTATGTGTTTTACACATACATAATGTTGAATATAATTAAATCATTACAACTAGATTTAGTGAATCACATCATTTAATCGATAAGATTCACACAAGGCTTTTACAGTTTGAGTTAGTAATGGATTTACATTAAAAGCCTAATATTTGGAAACAATTATATTTGTGAATTTATGACATAAAGAACATGTTTTTATGAATTGTTGAGCACTTATTTAGTTTGAATGAAAAAGTATTAGTCGTTTGAAATAAAACTTTTGATTGTAAGCAAAAGCAATCAGAGATGTTGTGAGAGCTATGAAAGACCGTCACATAATGTTGTTCTCATGTCTGTCATTCTCTCTCTCTCTCTCTCTCTCTCTCTCTCTGCATTGAATATATGGTAGCATTTGTTCAAAAGCTAATATACTCTACAAATTCACTGCATTCACACTTTCACTCACCGTTTTGTGCTTTTCATTTGAGTGCCAATTCTGGATGAAATGTCACTCAATAAGTGATGATATAATTCTGTAAATAATGTTCTGTGCTTTCAAGCTATCAATACATTATGTCTTTCACTTAAATTCAATCCAATAATGCAATGCCAGTCAACATAAGTCAATGTAGATTTTGCCTTATAGTCATCCTTTTGAACATCAATTTAAATAAACTTTTTAATTTAAAAAATAAAACTAATTTATTTGAGTTTTAAATTTAGCTTAAAAAATAAAATAATTGTAATAATGTTTAGCATTAATATTACAAATGATATTCATATTGAATTAATGAATAAATTGCATTTTATTAATGTTAAGAATATGAATTTAGATTTATATGAATTATGGTATAAATTGACAATAATTTGGATGAAATATTTCAAACATTAGTGGCGAGTAGTGTTCAAAGTGGGGAATAGTGAGTGTGATTGCAATGAATTGTATGTATTTATTCAGTTATTTGGCAAAACATCCAACAATTCCAATACATCCACACATCCAACACAAGAATAGCATTGCAGGTGTTGTTTGAATGGCTGTCAAACTCAATGAATAGTTTCCACAGCAACTCGTTGTCAGTCTTCGTCTTCATTGCCGCTGGAATGCAATCAATGAATCGCAAAATTAATGTCTTTTGACTCGCCATCAAAACAAGTGTGCATTTCCTCCCAACATCTCTCTCTCTCTCTCTCTCTCTCTCTCTCT